CTCCTCCACCGAGGGCACTCCACTTCCGGGAACTCTGCGTCACGAGCGACATCATCGGGACGTCATGAGAGACTCCGCCTCCTCCCGTGCGTTCCATTCACTCAAAGGGCTTCTGTGACGTCATGTGGCGGGGGACTTCACGTGGTGGTGGTGGGGGCAGAGATTCCATTGTGGTGCTCTTGCTGTCATGGGGCTGTGGGTTCCACGGCTGTAACTTATGGTTCCAGAGCAGCTGGAGAGACACAGGCTGCCCCCTCTCTGCTCTGTCACAGTCACTGTGGTGACAACGTGATTGTTGTTGACTATAGTTACACATGGATAAGATTAATAAAGGACTTAGCCAGTGAAAAATGTACAATTTATGCAAAAAATAAAAATGGCTCTGGCAGTTAAATAACCTAATTCAATGAGTACTAGTGTGAAGAGGAAATTTCCTGTCACCTTAGAAGGAATTTCTCCTCAGGAAGTTGTGTCATGACGAAAAATCACGGAGAAATCTTGCCATCAGGACAAACAAATAATATAGAAATTCTGTTTTTAATGTTATCCAGGATTTAAAAAAAAAAGCTTTGACTAACGTTAGACTTTAAAGCCCAACTGAACGCAAAACAAAATAATTTTCCCACCCACATCTAATCCGTTGTGTGCACATGTGAAGCGGCAACAAAATACGTTACCCCAAATTATCCATAGGTGACGCTTTAAAAGCCTGTACTTCAATTAAAACTCGGCAGAGCTTCTAAACTTTCCCTACTGTATCAAAAATTGGAAAACATTTTTGGCTATAGATAAACTTTAACCAGAGCTGTAGCTAGCCTATTTTGCGCCCGAGGCAAGAACAGAAAATTGTGATGAACGACTGCATCGTCAGCCAATGGGCTCGCGCGTAATAACCGAATGGCCTTCGCATCTTGACGCGTGGGTTTATACGCGCAAGCCGGTTGGCTGAAGATGAAATGTTTTATCTCAGCACGCTCAGCTATGCGCGCTCTTGCAAGCTGATGTGCCAGAGACAAAATGACATGACACACTGCACGTGAAGGCAGCACGCCACCGCTCCGCGCTGCTTCGCGTGCAGTTGGTCCCAGCCTGATGGCCCAGTCACACCATAAAGAGTGCGTTCGGACTGGAACGCACTAGAACGAAACCCAGCCAGCTCACTGTGTTTTGGGGCGGGAGGGGGTGTGGCTGCGCATTGAAGTCAATGGCACCGCAGCCATGCGCCCCACCCACAGTGCGATCGCCGTCACCCGAATTCGTGACACTTCAGTGCCTGTGTTCCGGTCCAGTGGGATCTGCAAAAAAGTAGTGCATGCAGCATTTTGGCAGATCGCAATGGACCAGAACGCAGGCACTGATGTGCCACGCATTCGGGTGACGGCTATCGCACTGTGGGTAGGGGGCATGGCTGCGGTGCCATTGACTTCAATGCGCAGCCACACCCCCTCCCGCCCCAAAACAGAGCCGGGTTATGTTCCAGTGCGTTCCAGAGGCTGAACGCACTCCTTATGGTGTGACTGGGCCCTTAAGGATGTAGGTGGGGGTAGTTTGTGGTGGGGAGGGGGGAGAGATATTGGGGGGGTTAGGAACGTCATCAATTAGAGATGTTTTAAAAAATTGTTTTATCTCTATTATTTAACACTTTTATTTTACACTTAGCTTTATTACATATAACAAGCCCCCTATGTAATAGAAAATATAATGTGACAGGTCCTCTTTATGGAGACATCAGGGGTCAGACCCCTGTCACCTAGGGACCCCAAAGAAGCTGATGAAGCAGGCTAGAAGCCGCTGATCCCTCCTCCGATCTATCAGGGAAGACCCTCCAAGCCGGTCCTGAGCTCACAAAAAGGGTCAGTGGAGCCTGTGAAGCCGATAGCGCCACTGGCGGCCGCAGGGGGGGGGACACACGGCACCGCACCGCACCGTACAAGTGATCCGGCATTTGTACAGACGCCGGATCGCTTGTACTTAAACAGCAATCGCCTGCTGTTTTAAATGGTACCAAGAACACGGATGCAGCAGCAGTTGGTAAGGAGAATCTTTATCTTAAAGTGATACACAAATAAGCGATTTTGTTAATAGTTAAGGCACTTGAATGCATTTTTAAGATTTAACTCCCGAGTTTAGTCTCACTTTAATTAAAGGACATGAAAACTGTGCTATATCTAAATAGATTTGGTCCTAATGTCATTAAATAGATATGGGGGTTCTATACTGACCCAAAGGCCAGAAAAAGTTATTGACCTTATCTCTAAGGCATTCCTCATAATTAGAATAAGGAGACAGGGGTGCCCCCTCTAAACCATTCTATTTACTTGGCTATTGAACCATTGGCTTCATTGATTTGCACATCCCCACAGATAAAGGGACTCTATAGTCATAACCTAGAAAAGTGTATATCACTGTAAGATGATGCTCTTGTTTATCTTGCAGATCCAAATAGCTTGTTTCTAGCCCTCTTTCAAATCATTTACATTTTTGTTTCGCGATGCATCTGAATTGCCGCAGGTCAGTTGTTTTTTGAATCTCTTATGGCGGGAATGTGTTCAGTGATGACACTGTTTCCATGGGAGGGGCCTGTTTGTTTTTCACAGTTTGATGTCTATATAAAGTTGATGATTCTGTAAGTGATGTGTCATTCGGAGCCTGATAAAGGGGACCCCCTGAGGCCCCGAAAGCGCTTGCATCGAATGGCAATGTGCCATTAAATGAATTAATACTTTACTACTATGGTGTGCTGGTGACATTATTTCTTCTTTTAGGGTGACGGGAGGACGCTAGTTTGTGTCCTGCCGTTACCCTAAGGAGAACTATGGGGAAAAGACTTAACCCCATAGTTCTCCTTTAAACATATGCACCTGTCTTTACAATTATAAATTGTTATACCTAGGTATCACCATTAATCTACCCCTTACAACATATCTGTCAGGAAACCAAGAAACCAGACAGAAATTTAAAGTGCAGGTAAACAAAAATGGCAAAAAACAATGGAGGAAGTCAAGGATGTTGAGGTCAGATGCCAAAATGGGTAGTAACCCGAACCAGGCCAGGGAACACTGAGAGCAGGATGAATGGAAAACATAGTTGAATTCAGGAACCAGGAGATTAGTCAGCCAGAGCCATGGTCATACACGGAGAACAGGACCAACAGCAGAGTACTTGATAGATCTGAACAAACAAAAGGGCGGAAAGCAAATGGGCAAAGCTGCTGGTTACATAGTGAATTGTTGTTGCATCATCACCTTTAGGCAAGAAGTTGTCAGAGGTTTTGTCAGTAGTTGTGCAGAATGATGATGTTTATGGGTTTGGTAATAGGAGGGCGCCAAAGAGGAATTAACAGTGTTGCAACAGAAGACAGGCTTCAGATCAATGGGACAAGGAAAGGTAAGAAACCCTGACAGTATCTGGGTAATATTTGGAATAGTTGTAGCCTCTTTGTCAAAGATGACCAAGACCTGGATGTTCTTGCTCAGTGATCTAATAGGTAGGGCAAACATTATAAATATGATTTTTTTGCCCAAGCTCCTATATTTTTTGCATTCTCTTACTTAGAGTCCTTTGGTAGTTTTCAGACATTGCTAATTCTCTTCCTGTGTCCTTTCGGCCTCATTCACACACAACGCAAGCAAAATTGTATATTGCGTATATACGAGCGTATATGCGTGCACTTCTTAATCAATAACTGACTTCTTCATACAATGTGGCATTGGAAAATAAATATTTGAATTCTGGCACCAAATCATGGAATCATTTTGCCTTTCCTAATATTTACTGCCCCAATACATGCTTATAAGGCTTTCTAGATGACCGTCGCTTATCCATTCACCAGATGAAATTACTTTTTCTATAAAAGAAAACTCAACCCTCACTGACCTTAGATATGTGGATACAGTTGATCAATACTACTGTCCCTTTATATAAAATGGCCTACAATAATAGGGGACACCCTAGGTCCTTTAATAAGGTGTGGCATCCCTACGTCTCCTCCTCATGCACTGTATTTGGCTCTACCTTGGGGAACCTTGATCTTGAAAACTGGAATTGATAACACTGATCTATGTGCCTCAACACTCCTGGTATGTTGAATATTACATATTTTGTTGTTCCTGCCATCTTCTGTTAACAAAATACCATAGTACTCTGTCATTGTTTTAACTGTGTTGTTATTTTTTCTTTATTTGCTTTGGTGTTTGTAATGTAAAAATCCATAAAACTCTTCTTTTAACAAAAAAAAGGACCCTGTCACCAGCATAAAACGTTTCTACCCCATAGAAGAAGACGCTGTATACTTACCTTTTTGATGGGTGTAAGTCTTTTTTTCGCCCCCTACAAACTTCCAAGCGTTGTTGCTGACACTTTCGGATAGCATGTGCCCCAGCATGAGGGGTCAGTGGGATGAAAAAATTCCCCATATTGGGTGTCATTGGGAAGAAAAAGTGCCCCAGTGTTGGTGGTCAGTGGGAGGAAAAAAATGCTTGCTGTCAAAGTGTTGATGAGCAGTAGTAGCAAGAATGCCACTGTTGGCAGTGAGAGGAAGGATGCCGCAGTGTTGATGAACAATAGGCATAAGGATGCCCTAGCATTGGGAGAAAGACTGCCAGAGTGTTAGTGGTCAGGGAAATTTGCCCCAGAGTTCAAAGGTTGCCCATGCACCACCTAGATGTTTTTGCAGACATGCTGTGCAGGATCTACAGGTATGCAATGGGAAAAGGGCAGCTTGTTGTATCATCTTAACAGTGCTTTGCAATGTGCTGGAAGTGATGGAAAGCATGGGGGATTTTTTTAGGAAAATGTGCAGAAAGGATCACTAACCCTTCAAAGTGCTGTCATATCTCCGTCCTGTTATGCGGCTCTTTACAATACAATATAACACAATTTCCAACACATCCCTGTCTATGGAGAGACAATGATCCTACACAGGGCAGCGCAACCAACAGCGTCACGTGACACAACCCCGTGTACGGAGGAGAAGGCGCAGGCTCTGACGTCATCGCAAACGGCCGGGAAGTGCCGTGGATCGGCGGTGGAGTTCAATATTGTGGTGAGACGCTTGGGGCTCCGCTTCTGGTGGTGATATACCTGAGAGCCATTGTATGGGGAGGGCAGTCCTGGGCATTGATAACCTCATTGTTTAAATATCAAATAAAGTGTAAACATCTTCTGGGTTAGACAACAGGAGTTCTCCATTGCCAGGGGGCGACAAGGCTCAGTGTGTCTCCTAAACACAGGGCGCTACAAGGCTCAATGTGCCACCTATGTCTTTGGGCACTACAAGGCTCAGTGTGCTATCTGATCTTGTGGCACTACAAGACTCAGTGTGACAACTGAATCTCGGGGAACCTTAAAGGCTCAGAGTGACACCTAAATCTTGGGGCACTACAAGCCTCAGTGTGACACCTGAATCTTGGGGCACTACAAGCCTCAGTGTAACACCTGAATCATGGGGTCCTACAAGCCTCAGTGTAACACCTGAATCATGGGGTCCTACAAGCCTCAGTGTAACACCTGAATCATGGGGTCCTACAAGCCTCAGTGTAACACCTGAATCATGGGGTCCTACAAGCCTCAGTGTAACACCTGAATCATGGGGTCCTACAAGCCTCAGTGTAACACCTGAATCATGGGGTCCTACAAGCCTCAGTGTAACACCTGAATCATGGGGTCCTACAAGCCTCAGTGTAACACCTGAATCATGGGGTCCTACAAGCCTCAGTGTAACACCTGAATCATGGGGTCCTACAAGCCTCAGTGTAACACCTGAATCATGGGGTCCTACAAGCCTCAGTGTAACACCTGAATCATGGGGTCCTACAAGCCTCAGTGTAACACCTGAATCATGGGGTCCTACAAGCCTCAGTGTAACACCTGAATCATGGGGTCCTACAAGCCTCAGTGTAACACCTGAATCATGGGGTCCTACAAGCCTCAGTGTAACACCTGAATCATGGGGTCCTACAAGCCTCAGTGTAACACCTGAATCATGGGGTCCTACAAGCCTCAGTGTAACACCTGAATCATGGGGTCCTACAAGCCTCAGTGTAACACCTGAATCATGGGGTCCTACAAGCCTCAGTGTAACACCTGAATCATGGGGTCCTACAAGCCTCAGTGTAACACCTGAATCATGGGGTCCTACAAGCCTCAGTGTAACACCTGAATCATGGGGTCCTACAAGCCTCAGTGTAACACCTGAATCATGGGGTCCTACAAGCCTCAGTGTAACACCTGAATCATGGGGTCCTACAAGCCTCAGTGTGACACCTGAATCTTGGGGCACTTCAGGGCTCAGTGTGACTCCTGAAGCTTGGGGCACTACAAGGCTCAGTGTGACACCTGAATCTTGGGGCATTACAGGGCTCAGTGTAACACCTGAATCTTGGGGCACTACAGGGCTCAGTGTGACACCTGAATCTTGGGGCATTACAGGGCTCAGTGTAACACCTGAATCTTGGGGCACTACAGGGCTCAGTGTGACACCTGAATCTTGGGGCATTATAGGGCTCAGTGTAACACCTGAATCTTGGGGCACTACAGGGCTCAGTGTGACACCTGAATCTTGGGGCATTACAGGGCTCAGTGTAACACCTGAATCTTGGGGCACTACAGGGCTCAGTGTGACACCTAAATCTTGGGGCATTACAGGGCTTAGTTTGAGACTTCATTCTTGGGGAACCTCAAGGCTCAGCATGGCTGTCTGCTCAATACAGCACTGATTTACCCAGGGCTTTAAAACATTTTAGGGTGTCTCACCAGTCAGTCAAAAATTCCACCAGTCAGCATGACCGGACTATAGCCTTGCAATTTATGTTAACATTTTTGGGGGGTATATAATCACCACTGGGGTTTTTATTTTTTTTTCACTATATAATGAAAAAAGTACCATAAATTAAAAATGTTTTCCCTACGTTATGTTATAAAACATTTATTCTCACCCATATTTTTGGTAAAATATAAAAGACGGGGTTGCGTCAGGTAAATAGACACCAAACATCTCAAGCCTTAAAATTGCGCGCGCCTGCAAAATCGCAAAAGACGACCACACCGAAAATTGGCCGTAGGCAACACTTTAAACATTTTTACTGCTCATGAGTTTAGTGTTATCAATGATTAATGGCCCTAAAATTATTGCTCTCACTCTGACGTTCGCGATGATATGTAACATGTGCAGCACAATAGGCTCAATCGTAATTTGCGCACGTAGGCGCACCCAACGCATGTTTGTGTGTGTATGTGGTGGGCGGGGGATTTAAAAAGCATTTTTTTATGCTTCTTTAATTTTTTTATTACTTTTTTTTTTTTTACACTTAACTTTATTGCTATCACATAGGGGTCTAAGAAGCCCCCCATGTGATAGCCAATTTACATGACAGGTCCTCTGATAGCCAATTTACATGACCCCTAATGTCACCTAGAAGCTGAAGAGATCTGCTTCACCAGCTTCTCCCCAGCTTCCGAAGCTGGAGCGTGACAGCAGATTGCGGAAGTGATGTAATATGCATCCCTTCCTGCATTCGGGGACTGGAGAGGCGATCAGAGCGAGATTGTGTACCGATCTTCCTTTGATCTCCTGTCACAGAGCAGCCAGTGGATCTTGAGACCGGCAATGGCAGTGACAGCTGCTGCTAATACAAGCGATCGGGCATCTCTAGAGACGACCGATCGCTTGAATGTAAAGCTTCCGTCCAGCCGTTTAGTTACAACGGCCGGCCAGGAAGCTACTCTTCCGGCTCTGCCGTCCTCTCGTCACAGGCGAGAGGACGAGCAGATTTTTCAAGCCCTGTATATACCTCTATGCATTGTTCTGCTCACCATTACAAGGGAAGCTGTAGAAAGACAAATCTAACAACACTGTGAGCTTCACTATTATTTAAAGTGATTTGTGATTGGCTTATTGGAATGAAGTTCTCAGTGTGTGCTTGTTGAAAAACATAAAAAAGAAACATTTTCCAGCACACTGGATGTGTCTTCTTGCCGTCTTGTTTTTAAAGGAGAACTATAGGGTCAGGGCTTTTCCCCATAGTTCTCCTTAGGGTAACGGGAGGACACAAACTAGCGTCCTCCGTCACCCTAAGCTCAGTATACCGCGAGCTACAGCTCGATGTCGAGATCCGCCCAGCTGCGTGAGTGACAGCTGGCTCTGCCTATCTAGAGGCAGAGCCAGCTGTACCCGCCCCCTACCCCGTCCGTTCCGCAAGTCAGCGCTGGCGGAGCAGGGAGGGGGGGAGTCCAGCCCCTCCCCTGTCACGGCAGAGAGCCGTGACAGGATCGAGAGGTGAGCTAACGCCGGTATATGTTCGCTCACCTCCCGATCTACTGAGCCGACCTGTGACAGTCTCATTGTCACAGGTGAGTGAAAAGCACTCGCCTCATAGTTCTCCTGTAAAGAGACTTTATCATTTGTGAGTGTGTGGTTCCATCCACTGACCACTACATTATTTCATCCATTTTATGTAATGTAGGAACTAGTGATTTCCCGATACCACTTTTTCAAGACAGGGTACAAGTACTTTCCCTCGGGTACTTGCCAATACCAATTAGCAATACTTTTTCGTAAAGGGACATGTGAATTTTTTTTCTAAAAACCACAGACTGTTAATTTTAGGGCAGTTCCTCACCGCTTAAATACAGATGTTACCAGAGCAGAATACATGTCCCCAGGCTGCGATCTCTGCAGGGCGCTGCGGGCAGTGGCTATGCTGTGGACTGTTGAACGGCCGGGAAGGAGGAGATATAGAACCGTACAGGCACAGCTACTGCCAGGTCCCCAGGAGGCTGCCTGAAGTTCCCACAAGCGCAGGAACTCAGCCGCTGCAGTTTAAAAATTCAAAGGGCCGGTATCAGCCTTTAAGAATGGGGGGTATTTTCATGAGTACAAGTACTCGTGAAAATGCCCAGTATCGGCCCCAATACTAGTATCGGGACATCCCTAGTAGGGACCATCAGATGGAACCAGAGTGGACAGCAAGGGATGCAGGCATCCAATACACCAGGAAGATTCTTCAGTGGCCATAGATTTCAAGACTGAACACTGCATGTTGTCCTTCAACAGTCAATTGCAAGAATGTGAGTGGACAGTAGAGGCTCTAGCATTTGAACGTTGAATAAAAGGTGGTACATCTTGTCACTGAGCAAAGTTCAGGCTCTGTATACTTCCTAATGGTAGCAATGCAGCATATTTCAGGATTCGTTGCATTAAACTGGCCAGCTATGGACTAACTAACCAGCTGGCCCTTTTTTGGTATTGTTTTTTTACCCAGATAATTTATATTGTGTTTAATGTCTGTATGACTGTTTGACAGGGAGAGATTAATTGTGTGCACAATTCATTTGTCAAGTAAAAGAAGGTCACAGTGTGTCCCAATAGTGTGGTCATGTGTGTGCTTGTGGAGGGTCCGGGACCTGGAACAATGAAACGTCTACCATACTTGTCACTTTGCTGTAAAATTAGGGCGCGCAGCAGTCTTCTGTATGACTCAGCCGACATCAGTAGTGACGTACTTTTATCATTTATGTGTATGAAGAGGACAATTGATTAGAATATCTGTGTAATTACAGGTGAAACTCGAATAATTAGAATATCGTGCAAAGTTCATTTATTTCACTAATGCAACTTAAAAGGTGAAACTAATATATGAGATAGACTCATGACATGCAAAGCAAGATAATTCAAGCCGTGATTTGTCATCATTGTGATGATTATGGCTTACAGCTCATGAAAACCCCAAGAACCCCAAATCCACAACCTCAAAAAAGTAGATTATTACATGCAATCAATAAAACAAGGATTGTACATAGAACAATATCGGACCTCTGAAAAGTACAAGCATGCATATGTACTCAGTACTTGGTTTGGGCCCCTTTTGCAGCACTTACTGCCATTACTTTTGCACGATATTCTAATTATTCGAGTTTCACCTGTAATGCTTTCAGCTGTAGGAAGTGCTCTTAGGGCTTGTGCTGATGGGAAAATGCAGCTTGATTTCAGGTGCATTCAGCCTACAAGAGCTTGTTTTGGTCTAGGTGCAAAAATAACATCTCTGCTACAGCGGTCTAAGGATCCTTGAGCCATTGCATCCAGTACACAGTGTATAGGACATGTGGAAGGCCGGGATACATTCCATCTCTGGAGGGGAGTGCTCTAACAGGCAGCCAGCTGCATTCTTCAGGTGAGTATAACTTTGCTATTTTTGCATAGACCAAAACGAGCATTTAGCCCTTGCATTGTGGGGGTAACCCCACTACAGGGGTTAAGAGAAGTTTTGCCCAGAGTTCTTCTTTAAGCTGCTTTTCCATCGACCTGTATTGGGAGAGATGCAGTTCTGATGCAGCCAAAATCCTGTTGACACAAGCCTTTTTTTGCCCGACGCCTCATTTCCAGTGACTTTTTTTGTTGTTGTCCAAAACAATATAGACTAGCATGTTTTGGGGGCCTTTAAAGTGTATTTCCAACTTTTTTGTGAAATTTCAGAAAACTATACTTTTGTGTTTGTGTTCACACAGCATACCTAACATAAAGAAATATGTCTGACCTTCTTGATGTTCCATTGGAGGAGGCCTTTTGGCAGACTGCAAGCTGTTCTGAACAATTTCAAAGTGTGTCTGTCCCCAGACAAAGATTGGAGACACAAGGGGGGCAAATTTATCAAAACTGGAGAGACCGAGTTCCCTCTCATGAACATGCAATGCGGAAGCCAGGCTTCTAGAACTTTTGACAGAAAACAGATCTTATTATGGTTTGTAAACTAGATTTGAACACTGTCCTAACAAAGGTTTAACACAGGACGGTGAAGCTCAGTGTCAACACAGATCGGTTTTCTGCCCCTCTGATTGGACAGAGGGAACATTAATAGAGGGTAGGGCCAGCGGAGGACTACTACAGATTGGTCAGGTCACTCGTTGTAGCCACTCCGAGCATCCGTGGGCGGGGAACATTGAAGACCCTCCTGTTCCTCCACTGTCCACACTCCCATTAGGTGATGACGGATTATCGGTGCTCGGTCCGATTGGCTGTCATTTACAATTTATTCTATGGAGAGGGGGGGGTTAGGTTCTGACGAAGGGGACGTGATCCCGGAAACGCGTCAACGTATGCATTTTTCACTGGCACACAGGAACGTCTGTGCAGCTCCCACTTGCCTCATCCTGGTTTATTGTCTAAAGGCTCATGTTCATCTACTCTTGTGAGTACTATTCCTATTGTTTGCCTCTAATTGAATCAAATTCATCTGCACTAGTGAAGGCGCCCCCTGTTTGTGCTTTTCTTTTAGATATCACAGTCTCCCTGGCTGAAGTGGGGCAGCGACCTGCAGCATGCACATTCATTAACCCTTCAGAGGAGTGGTTGTCCCTGGCGCTTTTTCTCTTTACATGGCTTCTGAATTCTTTATGGACTATACAGACCATTAAACTAGACATTTGTCTGCATGGGAATGGCTCATGCATTTTTGTATTGGTTTGTTTACCCCTGATTTAGCTATTTGTGTGCATAAATGACTCATGGGTCAGTTGTTTGAATATAAAGTTTAGTCTTTAAATCTAATGTACTCAACGTCTAAGCTTCGATTGACCACAAGTGAAAGTTTAGGTGACGTGAAAGGTCACCTCACAGTTTTCTACGCTGTTATCTGAGCGTCATTCATTTAACATTTACAAAGCAGAAGTATTATAAATATTTAACAGTACACATAAAAGGTTCATAGTTTACACACTGACTAGGAAAGTTTTGCTAGTGGTCACCATTACTATTAGGGAATATCCCATAGATCTTAGGTCAGGTAGAAAAGTGTTAAGCTGCTGCAGAATGTAAATCTCTTTCTTTAAACCTTTTAAAGTGTATGTAAAGCCCAAACTGTCTCTTTGCTTGTATTGAGTAGGGAATAGTTAAACCCCCTATCGGTTTTTATTTTTGCTGCTTTATGTCCCTTCAATTCCTATCCCAAAGAGACAACAAAATGTAAGAGGAATTTTCTCTAAATCAAATGAAAACTCCTCTTAGACAAGTGTTGCCATTGGAAGATATCTCTCACCTTCTGTTCCTGTGACAACTCCCAAAATTTTGGATTTTCATCACTTTCTGTACAGGAGAGAATGGCCACCATGACCAATGGGAGCGTTAATCTGTCCAACGGGGATACAGACATCAATAAAACCTGACACAGGTTTTTAATGACTCCCTCACTCTGTTCAAAATTACAAAAAAATAAATTGTTGGCTTAGCATATGCTTTAAAGTATGTGTTTAGCCAATACTTTTGTTGTTTGTGTGCCATTGTGGAGATTTACCTTCACTTCTTGTTTTCGAGAAACAGGAAGTGAAAGGAACTCTCTACAAAATGAGGGGAAACACTTTATTTTGGACACATGTGCCAAACACAAGGCTCGCTGGCCAAATCTCCAGCAGCTTTACATTTTTAAACTGAAACCCATGCTATAAACAGGCATCGGGTTTCACAGGAAGGCTGTTGAGGTCCCCAGCAAGGTCCCGGCAGCCTTCCTGTGAATTGTGGTACCTGTTTACAGTGCCAGTGGCAAATCTCCTTTGTGTGGATCCATGCCGCACAGCCCAGCATAGACCCTGCACAGCCACCTGAGAGTCCATACAGCCCAGCATAGATTCTGCGCATGCACCTTAGAGTTTGCACATCCCACCATAGAACTTGCACAGCCACCTGGGAGGCCGCAAAGTCCACCATAGAACCTGCACAGCCACATGAGAGCTCACACAGCCCACCACAGAACCTGTACAGCCACTTGGGAGCCCACACAGCCCACCATAGAACCTGCACAGCCACCTGAGAGTCTGCACAGAACCTGTACAGCCACCTGAGAGCCTGCACAGCCCACCATAGAACCTGCACAGCCACCTGGGAGTCTGTACAGCCCACGATAGAACCTGCACAGCCACCTGAGAGTCTGTACAGCCCACGATAGAACCTGCACAGCCACCTGAGAGTCTGTACAGCCCACGATAGAACCTGCACAGCCACCTGAGAGTCCACACTATTACACTAATTGCCTTTATTTTTCCTAGATTTCTACTTTCACAGCTAGTTATTACATTATTACTAAAACCAGTAATAATCAAATGCAGAGGCAATTATTCAGCATGATAAAGAGTAGATAAATTTATATAGTCCTACAGATACAACCGGCTCTTTGAGGGCAACCATAATGCTGATGCGACACGCAATGAAATTGAGTTTGACACCCCTGCCTTAGAAAGTTGTCCCCAGAACAGGTTTCCCCATTGGAAGATTTTCACTCACCTCATGTTCTGGTGACAACTGCAAAACGTGGGATATCACCTCACTTTCTGCCTCAGTGACAATGGTTATCAGGAAAAATGTTATTTATGAGGGACACAGACAGTCATGGAAACTGAACAGGGGCTCTAAAACATCCCTACTCTATCCAAAACTAAAAAGGTTTTAGGTTTACATAAACTTCAACAATCACATTGGTTAATTACTGCTAGTTAAACCAGTTTACAGAAATGCTGTGTTGGGGCTATTGGTGGTTATGTTTATAATAGACTGTCACTTTTTAGTTGGGGAGCTTTTGCAATGTCTTTGCCATGGTCTGCACAGACAGTAACCTATGCTTATGTCTTTCTATATGTTTGGGCAGCTGTTACATAGTGTCACATGTGACATAACCCTGAGGATACACTAAACCCTACTGACAGCCACAACCGGGCATGTAAATGCTCCATCTCTTGTTAACCAGTATGATGAGGAAGAGTTGACTTAAAGGAGAACCCAAGGCAGAATAAAAACAAATGATATTCCTATTAAGAGGATGTATGAGATGATGTAAGGGTGAGAGAGGATGTAAAGATGAGAGATGTATTTTCCATGTCAAGTACATACAGTAAATGCTAAGTAATTGTAAGTTTAATACAGGGCTAGGCAAATCCCAGGAGGCGGGTAGCCAATGCTTCGTAACAATTACATCTGGCGTGTAACTTTTACGGTTTTCCATAGTTGTTGTCAGTGCAGCTGGTTCCTAAAACTAAAATCCTGACAGGTCCTGAATAATACCTGTATGTTTTTGATCTCGGTAACTTACTATGGGGTCAGGGCTTTTCCCCATAATTCTCCTTAGGGTACCTAAGCTCAGTTACCCTAAGCTCAGTATACCGCGAGCTATAGCTCGTTGGTCGGCTAGAGCTATGAGGTGAGTGAAAAGCACTCACCTCATAGTTCTCCTTTAAGCAGTTATGTATTGATTTGAAACCATATCTCTGAAAATAACAGCATTTATGGACCATATGTAAAAACAGTTTCACTACAAATTTTTAACAAAAGTCTTATGTATGCTTATTTGTTTTTTTATAATTGTTTTGGCAGATTCAAGAAATGTCAATGACTTCAAAAGCCTGATGGACCCTGTAATATGACATAGGAGCCCCTGCCAGTTAAGGTATCATTCATGTTTTTTCTCACATTCCCCTCCTTCTTTTCCCTCTCCTGTACTCTGTCTACGGTTACGCTCTCAAGTGTGCTCCCACTCTCTTTTTCACATTTGCTTGCTCTCTGTCTCTCACTCCTTAAATTTTTTTTCAGGCGTACTAATGAAAGATTTGTAAATACTGTAACTGTATTTGTCTATTGGAGAGTGACTCTTGGAGCCTAACGTTAGATGTGATAGGCCTCCAGAGATCTTACAGTTGCTGTTCCTACAAGTACCTGATCCCATGCTGATACTACATGCTATCTTCCACCTTTTGTAAAATGCACTTTGTAGTATTAATGCCTTATAGAAAGTCTGTTCTTTATCTTTTATCTCTGTGTTTTTTCAAAGTATAAACAAGATGAATCGTGCAAAGGCAACCGCTGTGCGTCGGCCCAGCGCAGCTGCAAAGTCATCAGGTAGGGTGACCTTTTAAACTGAAGCATTTCTGTCATGTAGCTGTAACCTGTATGACATGGATTTGCTGGTGCTGATCTTGGCTGTTTAGGATTGTGAGAGCTTAGCATAGAAAAAAACAGAAGCCAGGTTGAAGTCTTGTCCCTGGTCCTAAACCGCTCCAGCACCACCCTCCCAACTTCCAGCTCTATCTTAGTAGGGGCATGGTAGATGTACGCTTCTTTTAAAGATAGAATACTGCATAAAAGAAAAGGAAGTGTGCTAGGTTTGAACACCAGCTACTGTGCCAGTGGCTGGTAGATGACCAACTTATGATCGGTTATCTGTAAATGCAAAGCTGATCAACAGGCAAATGTAAAAAGACAAATTAATACCTTTATGTATTCATTATTATTAAATACATGGTTTAAATGAAAGCATTCTAAGTACTCCAATTTGACTTTGTATCACTCCCATGCAGCCCCTGTATAGCAGAGCTCAGCGTGAGAGAGGTACAAGCAGCACAAGGAGCCAGCCAATTAAATTTGCTAGGAAGGAATCTACTGTCCTGTCTCAGGAGATCGAGTGGCTGAAAGAAGTATTCTGGGGGGCAGCTCCCTTTTGGGTATTTCTTAATAAAGTTTCTTTCCTGTAGAATTTGCCAATAGCTGCACTTCCTGTTTCAAGCTGACAATGCCAAGACACAGTCTTGCAAAATAGCAAGCAGTAGATATAGGCAAAAAGTTTTTGTTTTTTTTTTAAAAACCTGCTTTAACAGCGGTTTACACTTACCGTGTTATCGCTGCGCGCTCCCGCCCGAGAATCTGAAACTGATCGAGTGGCCGTTGGATGGCTTTGTAGGTGGTTGTTAATATATTGAATTTTATCCTTTGGGCTATTGGAAGCCAGTGCAGGGATTGACAGAGGGGGGTTGCAGACACCTGAGCGGTTGGTTAGGTGAATAAGTCTAGCAGCTGCATTCATGATAGACTGAAGAATGCAAAACAATGTATTTATTTAAATCATATTTTCTTTGATTTTTTTTTTACGTAACAAACAAGAAAAAGATTGCAAAAAAATACAGCGGTAGGGAATATTAGTGTACAACAACAAACTGGTGCAATTGATCAAATAATTAAATATTTCACAGAGGTTACATGAGGCTACAATAAAAAAAAAAAAATATATTTAACTTAAACTGATCATCATCATCATCATCATCCAGGGCATTTGGATGCTTGATTAGTTGACAGTTATGTCTTATTGCAGCTATATGTTTCCTCAAGTTTATTTTTGGATGAACATTTATTCTTTCTCATTCACATGCAGGTCATCCGCCTCCAGGAGATTTTATTGCTCTGGGCTCCAAGGGACAAACCAGTGACTCCAAAGCCCCCTCCAATCTTCTGAAGCCAGCTGCTTCTGGCCTGACCTCTGAAAGGAAGCGAGAGGCCTCAGCTGCATTAGCCAGCACTTCAGGACTGCCTGGGCTCAGTAAACGGCCCAAACTTTCATCCACTACCCCTTTGAGCGCCTTAGGGCGATTGGCTGAGGCGGCTGTAGCAGAGAAGAGAGCGATCTCTCCATCTATCAAAGAGCCATCTGTTGTCCCAATTGAAGGTGCCAATGTCTGTTTACTCTAGAACATGTTCCGTATTTGCTTGGGATTGAATGTGCAGTGCAGGTCAACAAATAGTTTCTTAGATTGCACACACTGTTTATAAGTATCTTTTGCTGCTTTCATTGCTGCCTCTGAAGATGGCTTCAGCTGTTTATTTTTCTTTTCAGAAATGTTGTGACCTGCAGTATTAGTAGCTTATGAATCTTCAAAGGCAATTTAACCCCCATTGCATATATGTATTCCATCTTACTATTAGAGGTTTCTTTTTTTTTCATTCAGGTCTTTCTAAGTATATTTTTTTTAGTTGCATTGCCCAGTTTTGTTACAGGTTTAACTCTTTTGTGACCAAACATCATTAAAGCCTTTCAGTATAAGCCCTGATGATCTTTTCTTCCCCTTTTTTTCAGTTCCTCCAGCGTCTCTGCTAGATGATATTGAAGCTTCTGAGCAAGAGGGCAATGATGACAGAATCGAAGGGGTACTCTGCGGAGCAGTAAAGCAACTTAAGATGAACAGGGCAAAACCAGATCCGACGTTGTACTTAAGTTTAATGTACCTGGCAAAAATGAAGCCCAATATATTCGCAACAGAGGGTGTCATAGAGGTGGGGTTTGTCTTTATGCGTTGTGTTTCTTTTGTAGTATATTTTGTATATTACAGAAATATGCCTAGGGGGTTGTAGTTTTACTGTAGACTGGGTAGGCATGATTTAAAACTGTACCTTACTAAAGGATTGGTGCATCTTTATGTAAAAAAGAAAAAGCCATGTTTTCCCTCAATGTAAACACAATCCTCAGATCAGACTTGTGTTGCTTGCTGTTGATCTGTGCAGGTCTGAGTGTTGTTTACATCCTCCATGTGGTTGTAAAATACTTTCGATACACCAGAGTAAGCAATAGGCAATAATGGCTACCTATCTCCCTGTGCCTGCCATAGACAAAAAATAGTCTGCCCATATCCCTGCAATAAGCAGGTAGTCCCCACCCAATGTTAATGTCAGGACTTACCTTAAATGATGCCTCTTTATTCGATCATCATCATCATCTTCTTCCTTACTGTCCTTTTCAGCTGTCCTTCCAGTGCTGGCGCAAGTCTCCGATCCAGCACTGACTCCTCTGTCCTCCTCTCCTCTGATGTCCCGCTGAGTCTGTGCAGGTGCACGCTGCTCCATGGACTTACCTTGTGTCTCTCCTCTTCTCCTGGCCGAACATCTGAACTGCACATGCGCCCGCCCCAAGATCTTTTGCGGCCGCCCGAGACTCTTCAGATGTTCAGACGGGAGCACGCGGCGAAGACACAGGTAAGTTTAAACCTGTTTGAAAAGGTTTTTTTACGTTTTTGCATATATCTACTGCTTGTTAGCAGTAGATATATGCAAAAACACACTGAGGGTTTAATAACCCTTTAACACATAATTTCCAATGCCTATTTAAAGTAATACATTTTATGTTGTCCTGTCAAATGTTTGTTTGATTTACTTATTGATCATATGTTGCCCACAGATCTTAATATATACACAGTACAGCCTGACATTACACTGCATATATTAAGATTGGTGGAGAGTGTACTTCAGTGGATATGATTCACATATGATTTGTGACTTGCACTAAGATCATTCCATGTTACCATCAATGTAAGTTAGTACTCATAATATGCATCAATTTACATGTTTTGCCTGTCAGATCTTTGCATAACTTGAGGGGGTGTCCATTATAAAACCTCATTCAAGCTAGTTTTATATTTCAAATATAAGTTGGTCTCCAGGCAAACAGTTTATTTACAAGGTTGAAATATTTGTGAACTTTCATGCCTTTTGATATGTGGAAATGTCAAAGCTCTATGCTCTCCCTTTATAAATTAACATATAATAATAGAGGTCATCTTGCTCTCTTTGATAAGGTCTGGGGATAGTGGACCTCCTCTCCCAACACAATAGCAGAATCCTCTTTGTAATGTCTTTACTGTGATATTCTGCTTCCCTATTTATAATGGTCTGGCCCTCTAGCAACTTCAGCGCGAAATTATAGCTAGTTATAGCTAATTTGCCTACAAAAGTCAGGTGGTCATAATAATCTGGCCACTCAGTGTATAGGCGCTCACTAAGTCTTACTGTTCTCAATGTTGGTCTTCCCTGTGCACATTTTCATTCCATGCTACAGTATGTCTTCATACTGTATGTCTTCAGGATTGGAAATGTTGTTTGTACACCTCATTTTGCCACTGTATAATTGATACGTATTGGCGCCTGTGTCTGCTGCCTCTTCGCTTAACTTTTCTTTTTGTTGCCTCTTTTGTTATTGGCATTGTTGTTACTTGAGCGACATTATGTACATATCTCATGAAAAAACTATCTTACCTGCCAAAAACATTTGTGATTCAGGGATCCCTACTAGATAGCATAACCACAAACCTTACCTTCAGTATAGGTAAGACATACAGCTTGGTCAAGGATCCACCACATGCCCACTGGTTGGTCAATAAAGAGCAGTAGCTCACTGCTGTGGTCAATCCTATGCTTTAGATAGGGTAAATGAAAGGTACCCTTTATATACGGCTGAAAACGTCAGATGCAGACGCATGTAGATTTCAATGCCATAGACAAAAAGAGCTCGGTAATGTTTTCTGCCCTCTGATGCCACTTTTTCTCTTTCATCCCATGAATGTGCTTTCCATAGAGTATAAAGGTCTCTAATGTATCCCCAGAGACAGCTCTATGGCAGGATCATATACAGGATGGCAGAGGCTACTGAGATCTACATGCGTGATTCTTCCACGTCAGTAATATACTTTCTTACAAAATGCACTCACACATATTATATATTGTTTTTTAGAGGACAGATAGGGCTACATATTTATATCACATATGTGTGTCTAACGCCTCACTTAGGACAAATAAAATATAAAAAAAGAGGAAAAAACTTTTTTAAAAACCCAGTTTTGATTTGTAGTATTTTTTACAAAACCAGCACAGCTAAAAAATTATCAGCGGTTACCAGCCCTCTAATGCAGCAAATAACTCGTCACGTACAGTGTACGTGACGAGTCATTTGGTCCCTTTGTGGAGGGACGTACAGTGTACGTCTCCCGTCACGAAGGGGTTAATATATAAGTGTTAAAAAGCACCGATCATTTAAAGTGATTTATTTTTTTACCATTAATACAATATTGGATTCTCATTTTTGTTCTACTTGCCTGGAGCTCAGTTGATTATGTGTAAAATTCTTTTGTTTGATCAGCTCTTCATTGTTAATATTAATGTACGCTGTGTTTCAGGCTTTGTGCAGCTTGCTACGAAGAGATGCCACAATCAATTTTAAAGCCAAAGGCAACAGCTTGGTGTCCGTTCTGGCCGGCAATCTTCTAATGGCAGCCTATGAAGAAGATGAGAACTGGCCTGAAATATTTGTAAAGGTTTGAAAAATGCAGAAAAAAAAGATAGCTCTGAAATAAACATATACTCATATTATTGTGTTTTTCCCCCATATTCATAGATTTTGTTTAAAAGGGGAAGTTGTTTACTTCTTATAAAATCCTTTTCCCACAGAGTTTATTTTTTAACACGTTCCATCTCCTCTCGCTTTTGGGTTTTTTCACTGGGTGAACAGTGTGGGCCTCTGGCATATAGGCATTGTTTATATGAGGTTGGATAAGAATGAACTTTTCGTACCCTGTGGCCTATACCTCAACTCCAGGCATCAGTCGTCTTTGCTTAGTATCTGGGAGTTGCTTGGTACTTATAGAAGTCACACTGGCTGTCAGAGTTGTGTAGTTCATAGAGGAAAAAAAATCTTAATTTGTAGCCTCCTACTGAAAGAGTTTACTCTGTTTACTCTCTCCTGTGCACTTTAGTACATGTAAGCAATGTATTTATATCAAAAGCTATATGTTACAGATGATCATAAAATGTTGGCAGGCCAATCAAATGTAAAAGATGCATCAATAGCTATGTCTCAAGCTGATTTTTATCAATAATAACTCAGTGAGTGAGAACATTGGAAATACTTTATGGGGACTTTACTGCACAAACAATAGTAACCTTTTAGTGTAAAAGCTGACACCATAGGGTACCTGATTCTAACTTGGAAGCAATTCCCCTGGGGGCTGCAATTCAGCTTGGGGTGGCAGAGGAGAACTGACAAGGTATGAGCAGGCCACTTTATGGTTCTTGCTGCAAAACGTTTGCATTAACTTACATTACATTTTGCACAGTACATATTTTATATATAATATTTATTTAATAATGTAATTTATTTTTACTCTTTCTTCTACATGGTTTGTCTTAGGTATACATAGAAGACTCTTTAGGAGAGAGGATTTGGGTGGACAGCCCTCACTGTAAGACGTTTGTGGAGAACATCCAGACTGCGTTCTGCACTAAAATGCCCCCCAAAAGCATGGCTGTGCATGGAGAGGCTGGCAGAATTTCAGGAGAAATTAGCGCTGGTAAATAGGCAATAATAGCTCTACCATTAAAGTAATTAATGAGCCAAAAACTAAAAGAAAGATCTCTTTCCTCTTGTATTGCTACACCAGGCAACAGTCCTCACCCATCCTTGCCAGAAGAGGAGGATAGTCAAAGTGAGCTGCTTATCGCTGAGGAAAAACTAAGCCCTGAGGAGGAGGGACAATTAATGCAAAGGTATGTTGTCTCTTTCTAATTAATTTTGTTCTCAGGATGTGTTCTCAGGAAATCCATTGGTGTTTTTCACACTACTTGGTGCTGTACATGCTTCCTTCATGTTCCTTTAAAGGCCATATGTATCCATATCTATTACAATTCCTATTAGTCATCATCTTCAGTGACAACCAAGAGAACTAATTCATTTTTTTTTTAACTTCTTATAGCCCACTGTTTGCAAAGCTGTTCTGGAAGTTCACCAGGTTGGACTTGTACTGTGGGTAAATGCCACTGTTTATTGTACAATGTTGGCACAGTCAAGAGAATGTGTATAGGCACCGGCATGTATTGAGCATGCATTGTATACTTGCCAGCTGTACCCTCCCCCATCGGTTCCGCCAGTCAGCGCTGGAGGATCGGACAGGAGAGGGGGGGAATCCCTGCAGGGAGCTGTGAGTGACAGTCACGGCTCTCTGCAGGGAGAGGAGCGAGCGACGGTATGTGTTCGCTCACTTCCCGATCTATTGAGCCGGCGTGTGACAGTTTCATTGTCGCACGTCGGCTCGAACTATGAGGCTGAGTGATTTACACTCACCTCATAGTTCTCCTTTAAAGGGTAACCCAATCCAAAAAGTGATATTCCTTTTATAGGCACAGCCTGGTGGATGGATTTGTTGAAGACCGCAGTGGAAGATCTCCATATTGTCCATATCACCTCCACTAAGTGCACCTGCTAAATAAATGGTTATAGGCAGAACTAGTGGACTGGTTTACAAGCACTGTGCACCTACAATTCAATTCCTTGGTTTTTTTTTGTATTTTAATACATAAAGTACATAACCCATAAAAATTGTCATATTTATGTACTCTGGAAAAGTCTTTACTTGCTCTTTTTGGCCCTGTTCCCGTTTACCTTTGTTTTTTTTTCACAACTACTGTCATGTTCTTTAGAATATAAAATAAATGACAAATCCAGAACAGATGTCTACTCCCAATGCCACAGCTGGGGTGCGCACATTGCACTGACCTCACATCTGCAGTCCTCAAAGGCTATAGCAAAAATAGTGATTTCATCCTCAAGCATCTATCAAAGAATGATTTGGGTTAAATGGACCATTAAAACCTTCTGAAGGAAATCTCTTCTGTGGTACTTGTGTCCCGGAGGAAGGAATAATTAGCTTAGAGTAGGATGAGAGCCTCCCCTTGATTGATTTGAATTCCTCAAGCATTTGCATTTATGCTGCATTTATATAATGGCATATATTTGCCTGTGCTAGGTATGAAGATTTGGCTGACGGAGTGGAAGAATATGTCTTAGACATGCTGAGGGATCAGCTTAATCGGCGACAGCCTATAGATAATGTTTCCAGGAATCTACTTCGCTTGCTTACTGCCACTTGTGGCTACAAGGAAGTGCGACTTATGGCGGTGCAGAAGTTGGAGATGTGGCTGCAGAACCCGAAGGTAGGATCATTTGCTGCATGCATGCTGTTATCCCAGTATCACAGCTCTGCTTATGTGGGATGTCTGGGCTATGACAAATACTGACCTGTTTACATTTGTATCTGTGTAATCTTATGTTTAAAGAGCCCATTATGTACAACTTTTCACTTATTTTAACTTTTGTTATTGTTTTCTTCTTCTAGCTGACTCGTGCAGCACAGGATCTGCTTATGTCAGTCTGCATGAATTGTAACACTCAGGGTTCGGAAGACATGGAAGTCATTTCTAATTTAATTAAAATCCGACTCAAGCCCAAAGTTCTCCTTAATCATTATATGCTGGCTGTGCGGTAAGCTGGATCCTATGTGAAGTATTATACTTGTCATTCCTCTTCTTCGTGAATTGCCCCACACAACAGATGAGAAGCACCAATGGTCAGCTGACATAATCTAAATAGGTTCATATGGATACTTCCACTTTTTGGTGGTCGGTCCAATCAGCTTCAGCTGTCATCAGTACCATTACTTGTTGGCACTGTATCAAAATATGCTTGCCTGTTCAGGAAATGTGCTGCTTATCTTTTCAAGGAGTCTTACCGTTATACTTAAGAAACACTGTAAAGTTCAGGTAGAGTTCAGACATAGTAGGCAGAGTTTCAACTCCTTTAAAGAGGACCTTTACCCATATCTTCAAAATCACAACAAGGGCACCTTTAGAAATGTTTAGTAATGACAATCTACAAACACATACTTCTAGATAATTGCCAGCTTTTTGTTTTTTGCATGCCTTGTATTTCTTTTCATCCCCATTCTTCTCACCGTGGCTTTTTTTTGCTAAAGGCAGATAAATCCATCTCCTTTTACTTCCTGGAACTCTGGCACATGACTGTAATGCGGGAGGTGTGGTTACAGTGGCTGGTGTGGATCTCAGCTTCAGATGCCTATATATCTATGGGTTCAGTGTAGTAGTTCACTTAACACAGTCAGGTAGCAGTAAGGTTGGAAGACCCAGATCAGAGTTAGAAGGCAAGTGGTTTATTTTAGCATAGGTTACACACAGTCAAGACTGGGAGCAACTGGTATTAACTGATAAGCATTGGCAGTTCACAGTAATATGCTATAGTAGTATAAGGATACTTGCGGTGAGTTGATCTGGAGTGTGTTGCTGCCACCCGGTGGCATCAGGTGTGAGGTGCAGGTCTTCCCTGTGGAGCTGGCTCAAGGGAGGAGATCTCTCTGTGAGTGGGCTGGCCGAGGGCAGGGCCGTGGAGAGGCTGAGGCAGCCTTGGAGGAGGGGCTCTGTCCGGCCCAATAGAGTGTGAGGCAAGATGGGGCTCTGTCCGGCCCAATAGAGTGGGAGCAAGATGGGGCTCTGTCCGGCCCAATAGAGTGGTGGCAGGATGGGGCTCTGTCCGGCCCAATAGAGTGGTGGCAGGATGGGGCTCTGTCCGGCCCAATAGTGCGGTCTGCTGCGGGGGGTATTTGCCTGGCGTCAGACTCCTAGCACGAACGCCAGGCAAATGACTCCCGCGGTTTAAATAGAAAAAAGGGGAGGAGTCCGGTGACGTCACTGTTCGCGACGTCACGCGAACTCCGACGGAGCGGCCTGTATTGCCGGAAACCGGAGGAAAGGTAGGAATGTTACAATGACTAGGACATGTGACCATGCACATCATCTCAGGGAGGAAGATGCCTTTCCCTGAGATCTCGTGAGATTTCCCAGCAATGCTCTGCTGATGTAACCTTCCCAGGATGCAGTGCATGGGCATGATTACATCATTCGTGCCCAAGTGGACCAGAAAGTAGAAAAAAAGAAATTGCAAGTAAAAGAAAAATATGTTTAACTTATGAAAGATGATTTCATATCTGCATGCTGATGAGATTTTTAGTGAAAGGGGGTAAAGGTCAGCTTTAAGAAGGAATCGTCATAAGATTATGGAAGTCTTCAGTCTTCAGGGTAAAGCAGCAGTATTACATAGGGACATCAATGGAATCAAGAACTAGCTGCACAGGATTAAGACAGTATAAATAGGCAGTGGCTAATAAAAGGAACACGTGAAGAGAAAGACGTGTGGTGATGTTTCCAAGCCCCTTCTAAAAGATCTTATTGGCTGAATATCATGCTGATCCAGTGGCTTCTGTACTTTCTGAGTTTTCAAGTTCTGATACTTGTTGGCTGGCTACTAACATCAGAGGATCAGTGTACCAGCCATGCTACTAGCATTTTCAAAATCATACCAGTCATAAAGCATTTACTTGATGGTTTGATTGAAAACTGCTAAAAAAACAATTCTATTCTTTGCTGGATTGTCTCTTTGAACTCTTTCTGACACCTCTGTCCTTTCTCTTATGGTAGGGAGCTGTTGAACGCACACAGAGACAACCTTGGCACAATGGTCAAATTTGTGATTTTTAATGAGCTTTCCAACGCTAGGAACCCGAACAACATGCAGATTCTGTATACGGTATTACAGCACAGCTCCGAGCTGGCACCAAAGGTAACTAGCTTATTAGTCAAATTAGCGTGATTGTGGAGGAAAGAGCTCACAGTGTGAAACGTCTCTTGCTTTCTTCAGTTCTTAGCTATGGTGTTCCAAGATTTGCTTACCAATAAAGAGGATTATCTGCGAGCTTCACGCGCCTTGCTGAGGGAAATCATCAAACAGACCAAACATGAAATCAACTTCCAGGCATTTTGTCTGGGTTTAATGCAGGAGAGAAAGGAGCCGCAATACACCGACATTGATTTCAAGGTAACACATTCACCCCTGTGTCTTTTTCCATTTGTTATATAACACTGTTCTTGTTTAATAGTCCTTGTTTGCTGTTTGATCACTTTATAAAATAGCGTTTTGTGAAGTCTTGAAACAATTTTGAAAATGTTATCCAGAAAAGGGAAACCCCTTTTTTTGGAGCTAAGAGAAGCGCCATGTCAGATCAGCAGATGCGGGTGTGTTTTATGAGCAGCTGTGACATGGCCCAAGACTTAGAATTGCTTGCTCTGTCTATTGTGGGCACTGGCTGCTTGTGTTGAACAATCATCGTACTGTATCTATGGACGAGCAACATTGTTATCCTAGGACAAGACTGCAATAGCCTCTTCCTTTTCCCATAACCAAGAGCAGGGGTGCCCACAATTTTTCGTCTGGAGATCTACTTTTCAAATGATGAGATCTACCAACAAAAAAACACCTTTATTTAAAAAACAAGCACATTAAAATTGTTCCTGGGACTACTGCCTCTCTATCCCTCTCCTTGCTCTCTCTCTCTCCTCGTGCTCTCTCTCCCCTGTCTCTTCTCTCCCCTGTCTCTTCTCTCCCCTGTCTCTTCTCTCCCCTGTCTCTTCTCTCCCCTGTCTCTTCTCTCCCCTGTCTCTTCTCTCCCCTGTCTCTTCTCTCCCCTGTCTCTTCTCTCCGCTGTCTCTTCTCTCCGCTGTCTCTTCTCTCCGCTGTCTCTTCTCTCCGCTGTCTCTTCTCTCCGCTGTCTCTTCTCTCCGCTGTCTCTTCTCTCCGCTGTCTCTTCTCTCCGCTGTCTCTTCTCTCCGCTGTCTCTTCTCTCCGCTGTCTCTTCTCTCCGCTGTCTCTTCTCTCCGCTGTCTCTTCTCTCCGCTGTCTCTTCTCTCCGCTGTCTCTTCTCGCTGCTGTCTCTTCTCTCTTTCTCGCTGCTGCCCCTTCTCACTCTCTGCTGCCCCTTCTCACTCTCTGCTGCCCCTTCTCTCTTGGCTGTCTTTCCTTATCTGCACTGCAGCAGCTTCTCAGGTCTCCTCTCATGTGCACTGTCCTGTCCTCCCATGGTGCTGGTGTGGCTGAATGTGTCCGACGCTGCAGACAGGGAGAGTTGTCCCACCCCTTCCCGTCTGCAGCGTTTGACACATTTGGCCACCTTAGCACCGCGGGAGGGAGCTTAGGTCAGTGAGCCGATCGCAACCTACCAATGTTCGCTTTGCGATTGCCTGGTAGATCGCGATCTACCTAATGGGCACCCCTGACCTAGAGGGAAGAGTTATCTAGTCCTCAGAGATAACTAGGGACAACATAATTGAGGACATTGTAACTGATCAGAGTCAAAACATATAGAGAGGACAGGAAGTTATCAGCTGCTAAGATTCCTGGAAGGATCAACAGGTACATCAGGCCAAAAGGCACCAAGTGAGAGAAGTTGATTTTCAGTGTATTACACAAACTTTAACTAAATTCATCAGCTACTTTTAACTAGTGAAGAAGAACCACAAGCCATTCAGTTCATTTATAGCTGCAATTATCGAGGGACAATTCACTAGAAGTGCAACCTGCAAAGCACCAAATCATCTAGCAGTCAGCTCTTTTAGTCATCTTAGGGTCCCCTTTGCTGGCCAGTGATGGAGAATTTAATATTATGAAATAGTGAACCTGATCTGCTGCTTATAAATGACCTGGAGCTGTAAGCCCAAGTCTGGCCCAGGTTTATTTTGCTACATGTTAACTTGGGTTAGAGACAGGCAGCATTTGTATTAGATCTAGGAGAAGAAGATTTCCTTACGGCACTCTTTTCTGTTTTCAGGAACGCTTTGTTGTCCACATCACAGACCTGCTTGCAGTGTCTATGATGCTGGGGATTACAGTTCAAGTGAAGGAAGCAGGAGTTGCTTGGGACAAGGGAGAGAAGAAGAGTAAGATCCCTTCACATTTTGAAGCCATTCTGTTATATAATCCACATCATGAGCTACTCTTTTTCTAATACCTATATGTGGTCTCATTATAGGTTTAGAGGTGCTGCGTTCCTTTCAGAACCAGATTGCTGCCATCCAGCGGGATGCGGTGTGGTGGCTTCATACAGTGGTACCAACCATCAGCAAGCTGTCACCTAAAGAATATGTGCACTGGTATAATTTTCAAAACCATAATCTTTTTACAGAACACTTTTAGCTGCACTGGTAGTCTATGGCAAGAGATTTTTTGCACTAAAAACAGTGAAAATCACAAACCTTTCCCCAAATGTCCCTAAAGACTTGAACTACGCATACTGTGCTCATCACTTTAACAAACACTTGCACACAGCCTTCTTTTGTACACAGAAATCAGCTAGGCTGCATTGAAGTTTACAGTACTTTTGTAGATAAAGGGACTCTGTCGCCAACTTTGCAGGTAAAACACAGAAGAATCGAGTATTTTATATTCCTTTCTATAAATAATTTTTTTATTTACTTGCAATGTGCCTTTTAAAATTGCTAGAAAATGTGACCATTGCACAGCCCTCTCCCTACTTCTATATTATAGTTCTCTCCTTGTCTGGTAGTGTCTCTGTGCTGGCCCAGCTCTTCCCTTCATGTCGCATTATAAAATTCAAAATATTAACAACCACTTACAAAGCCATCCACAACTCTCCCCCCGGCTATATCTCAAACCTGGTCTCAAAGTATCACCCTAACCGTCCCCTCTGCTCTTCAAAAGGCCTCCTGCTTTCCAGCTCCCTCATCAACTCCTCCCATGCTCGCCTCCAGGACTTCACTAGAGTCTCTCCCATCCTCTGGAACTCTCTACCCCAACCTGTCCGACTATCTCCCACTCTGACTGCCTTAAGACTCATCTTTTCAGGGAAGCCTATCCCACCTCAACCTAACCACTGAACTATCACTTTCTCAAACAATTCGTCCCCACACAGCTACCTCTTCGTGTATCACTTGCCCTTCCCTTTTAGATTGTTGGCCCTTAGGGGCAGGGCCCTCCTTACCATCTTGTCTTGAATTGTATTGTGATTGTAATGTCTTTCTTATATTGTAAAGCGCTGTGCATACTGTTGGCGCTATATAAATCCTGTATAATAATAATAATTATCACACGTTACGTGTGTACGCATTTTGCCACATTTGACATGCATCAGCTCATTCATTTCAATGGGCTAGCGCACATGCGACAAACGCAGAAAAGAAGCACAGAAGTTGCTAATCATTCCTATAGAGTGTCACTTGAGTGACAGCTCTTAGTCTTCAGGGGACTCAATCAATGTGTGATATTTATTATAGTTGAATAAGCAGGCTAGAGGAGGGAACCTGCAGAAATGTAGGCTTTGAATAGTTAGTGTTCAACATCTCTTCTACAAACATATTTGATATAATACATACAGTATGTGATGGCAGTGTTCTCGTCCCAAGCTTGTTTCAGTAATATACATTTGCACTTCCCATATTGTGTCCTATAGTAGCACCATTTCAAGTACTACTTAGAATATATATAGCTTAACTTCAGGAGCTAAATCCATAATTGAAATCTATTTTTATGGCAGGTGTTTTACCTGAACAAGATTTGCATTTCTCTCAACCTAGTCCTGAGATTTACACACCCCACCGCACAGCCAGCCCACTGACCTGGTTTTTATTTATGCCATTTAAAGGAGAACTATGAGGTGAGTTTTTTTCACTCATCCCCATAGTTCTAGCCGACCTGTGACAATGAGACTGTCACAGGTCGGCTCAGTAGATCGGGAGGTGAGCGAACACATACCGGCGTTCGCTCACTTCTCGATCCTGTCACAGCTCTCTGCCGTGACAGGGGAGGGGCTGGATTCCCCCCTCCCCACTCCAATCCTCCAGCACTGACTGGCGGAACGGGAGGGGGCGGGTACAGCTGGCTCTGCCTCTAGATAGGCAGAGCCAGCTGTCACTCACGCAGCTGGGCGGATCCAGACATAATTGTCGGGATCCGCTTCAGCTGCGGCGTCTCAGTATATAATGAGCTTAGGGTAACGGGAGGACGCCAGTTTGTGTCTTCCCGTTACCCTAAGGAGAACTATGGGTAAAAGCCCATAGTTCTCTTTTTTAAGCAATACAACTAGTGAAGGAGCAGCACCAAACTGATTAAGACATCTCTCTGCCTTCTTGATATCATGTTACTTGTCAGCTTTAGGCTGGGTTCACACCTGGTCGTTCCTAATAGGCGCGTTTTATGTGCTTTTTTAAGCACTTTTTTTTCCCAATGAAACGCGCGTTCGACGCTCGGTTTTTTAACCTCCCTGGCGGTATGATTTTTTTTTTTCCCCTTTTTTTCTCTATCTGTTTTTTTTCTTCTTTTTTTTTTAATCAAGAATTTTTTTTATTTTGTTGTTTTTTTGGTTAGCGTATACAACATCATATAAACATATCAAAGGCAATCGTTTACACATGAAGGTTTGACATGAATCACGGTAAACCTCAGTTCTTCCCATACAACCATTAACATCATGGAGGCACTATATTGGGAGACAGAGGTTAACAGGTGCTAGGTAGCATAATGATAAACCATTGCTCCCATGTATCCAAGGGCACATGGGTATCGGAGGTAACTGAGTGAAGGATAGATGGACGTAGAGGGCTGCGCACTTCCCGCACGCCGCCCTCATTATGCATCTAGGTAGGGAGAGGGTCAAGGGGGAGGGGGGGGAAACAGGGTAGGAATTGGGTTTCAGCAGTTCATTACAGATGAGGGCTAAGGGAGACCTGACTGAGAGGGGGTCCTATTACATCGGTGCTTTATTTCTTACTTTTAAACTTCCCGCCGGTTCCGCCCCCCTGCGACGCGGACGCTCGCAAGGGACGGAACCCGGAAGACTGCAGTGTCCGGAGGATACCGTGGGGATCTGGAACAAGGTAAGACCTACGCTGTATTCCCGAGTGTGGCTCGGGGTTACCGCTTTGTTAACCCCGAGCCACACTCAGGAATACCAATGGATACGCGCTGAAATCTGCCCCTACGCGCGAAAAAGAAGCTCAGGTACTTTTTTGCGCGTAGGGCCTTTTTCAGCGTGACAAAACGGGCTCAAATACGCCCTGGTGGGAACCATGCCCATAGGGATTCATAGGATTTCACTTCTTTAGCCTTTTTCAGCGCTTCGATCAGCACTGAAAAACGCCCAGGTGTGAACCCAGCCTAAGTGTTTGGAGGGCTCCTAATTGGGCAATCCCTCCTTTTTCAGTCTGAGTTATCCTGCACATGGGAGTACAAGAAGCTGAAGTCCATTTAAATTCAAGTATTTACACTAGCTGTATTTAAATGTACATGTAATGATGTTATAATAATACAAAAGTACATTTGTTTTCTTTTTTTTTTATTATTTCTGAGTTCAGTTTTAAAATCTGTGAGTTGTAGCCTTACAAGTAACATAATGTCTAATGTTTCCACAGTTTGCACAAAGTCCTATTCACTGAACAGCCAGAAACATATTACAAGTGGGATAACTGGCCGCCAGAAAGTGACCGCAAGTATGAATATTCAGTATATGTGACTTTTATACCCATGAAGGTAGAATGCAGCTGTTGCGGCTTTACAATGTGGGGATGGGGGACTGTGGGTGGCTCACCTCAGAATTAACCTGTGCAATGCCTTGCTGAAAAACACATTTGCCAGCAGCACATACCTTACTTTCACCATGTCGCGATGTCGCCGCGATCACGTGTAAAATGTGTGCAGCCTGTCCGTCCTCCACCCCCGCACCTACCTCTCTCCTCTGGTTCCGTCCTCCCCCTGGCCGCCGAGTCTCTCCTCACTGGCCGCCGATGCAGGGAGCAGAGCGGCAGGGTTAAAACTAGCTCCGTGTATACATTGAGGGAGGAGAGCTGTGCTCTTCCCATCTCAGCTGTCACAGGCGTTCCAGCACAGTGCTGTGCTAGAACTCCTTTATTGGAGGTGACAGGGTCAATAAAGAGAACCTGTCACCTCCAAAAGCTATCACACAGGGGCTTGTTAGCTAGCTCCTGTGTCATAGCAATAAAGTTAAGTGAAAAAAAAATTATAAAAATTATAAGCAATAATAATTAAAATAAAAAGGTGATTAAAAAGTAAAAAATAATAAGAAAAACATTATTACAAAATAAACAATAATAAGATAAATTATAAAAAATAAAAAAAAGTAAATGATAAGCTAAAAATTTAAATGGAACCTGGCCTTGAGACAGCAGGGAGAGTAAATCCGGCCCTGGTTGTGACCTAAGACTTTCACACAGCTCAGCTCAGGACTCTTTTATCATCTCTTAGAAGGAAGGGCAGTGGGTGACCTGGAACTATTGGGCAATTCTCTTGGTGCTCTGATTTACTGATTTACTCTGCTTTTGTTCTGACTTGGTGCTCTGATATTATGTAGTCCAAAAACAGCTTCCACAAACATTTGCTAGAAAGTACGTGTGTTTGTATGTGCGGAACGGTGAGAGACAAAATTGTAAGGACTGATAAGGCTTCAGTTTTCTTTTTAAAGCCTATTGGATTGTGTGAACAGTATAAAAATAAATAGAATACAGATTTACATTTTTTTTTATAATGCTTTATTCATAAAACATCATGAAACACACATACAGAAATTAACAGCACATAGATTTGAGTAAGGCAAAATGCCACACGTTACAGCAATTGTACATAATAACACAATGCAATCAAATGCCAAACCATAATAATGTGCCTCCATATCAGGTTAAGCTACTGCTAACATAATCATTCTCTTAACCACTTGCTGACCGGGGTGTTATGCCCCCTTCCTGTCCAGGCCATTTTTCAGTATTCAGCGATGTGGTACTTTGACATGTTTTCAGTCATGCAACGCTGTACTGAAATTAATTTAAGATAATTTTTTGGGGACACACAGAGCTTTCTTTTGGTGATATTTAATCACCACTGGGGTTTTTTATTTTTTACTGTATTAAGGAAAAATTACCCAAAATTTGAAAATAAAAACTGTTTCCCCTACATTATGTTAGGAAACATTTATTACTAACCAATTTTTTGATAAAATATGGGGTCATGTCAGGTAAATAGACACCAAACATGTTAAGCCTTAAAATTGCGTGCGCCCGCAAAAAACTACAATACCCAAAATTGCCCAAAGGCGATACTTTAAAAGTTTTTGCCACTCATCAGTTTAGTGTTTATCGGCCCTAGAATTATTGCTCGCACTCCAGCGTTCACGGTGATATGTAACATGTACAGCAGAATTGTCGTTTTAGAACCTTGGCGCACCCGACGCGTATTTACGTTTGTACGTGCGTATACGCGGGGGGCCTAAAAAGTTTTGAGGTTTTATTTTTAAATGTTTTTATGTGACTTTCATTTTTCTACCTTTTTTTTTTTTTTACACTTAATGTTATTGCTATCACATTGGGGGCTAATAACCCCCAATGTGATAGCACTGGTACACTGACAGGTCCTCTTTATGGAGACATCAGTGTCAGGGGGCCCCTAATATCACCTGGGGACCCCCAAAAAAGCTGATGGATCAGCTTCTTCTCTGGCGAGTGCAGCCAGGGAAATGACAGCTGAATGAGGAAGTGATGTAATGCACACCACTTCCACAGTCAGAGATTGGAGAGGAGACAGCAGGTAGAGTGCTGATCTCCCTCCGATCCTAACGCAGAGAGCCGCCAAGCTGGTCCTGGGCCCGCAGAGAGCCGCCCGACCGCTTGTATGTAACAGCCGTTAATGGCTGTTTACAAGTAGCAGCGTTTTCTGCTCGTGGGAGAAAAAAAAGCCATATGTTTACGCCCCCCCGCTGGAGAGTTTGTTTACAACAGGCGAACGGCAAGTAGTTAAAGTTGTTCAACCCAATTAAAAGTAAAAAGTGGTAGAAAGAAGGTACAAAATGCTCAATTGCCCCTCCAGAGGCTGAATGCTCTTGGAGAATATACATCCTTACCCACTAAATTGAATAGAGAAGAGCCATAGATGAAAATGTAGGAAAGAGAGAAAGGTTGGTTCACAGAAGTAGAGAAAGGAGAAACCAGATGGAGAAGAGGCGAAGACAGAGAGGGGGAAGGATAAAGGGCAGGAGGGAGCAAGGACAGGAACAGCTCCCCATGGCATCTAGGAAACCAGGGACCACAGGAGTGAGACAGAGTCACATATATTTCTATGCTGTTATTCATTTATGCTATTAGCTGACTCCATATTCTTCTCTTTGAAAAGTTTCTTTCTTCGCCTCTGCTCGGAAGTGCCACTTCTAGAAGATACGTTAATGCGTATCCTTGTCATTGGCCTCTCTCGTGAACTTCCACTTGGCCCAGCAGATGCCATGGAGCTCGCTGACCACCTTGTTAAAAGGGCAGCAGCTGTCCAAGCCGATGGTAAGTGTTTCACGACCTGGGGTGGTACAATAGCTACACGGTTTGTGTGACATGACCTCTTACATATCAAAATAGATGAGAAATGGTATGTGAATGACATGGACATTCTTTTGTGGTTATTGTGAGCTTCCCTGTACTCGCAGTACTCCTGAAGAGAATGGTGCTGTCGTTATGAGAGCGGCCATCTCTTCTGCTGCCACCAGATGAGAAGCGGGTCACCTCATTGGCCTAGCGGCTGCAGGAAGCAAAGTATGTATAATAGGATTTTTTGGGGCCATAAGATTTGTACAATAAAAAATATAATTAATGCAAGAAAATAATGCAAACATCCTTTTCCTCTGGACTGGTAAACATCATGCATTAGATGCATGGAGAGGAGATGGGACCATGGAGACTCCAGTTCTTTTAGCATGCAGATTCCAATGAAGTGAGCAAAAATATTCAACGTAAAGGAAATATGAAAAAAAAAAGAAGCAAAACATGCATCAAAGCCTTCTTCTATATACACTATACGGGGACTTATACATGCTATTCATATACTGTTTGTCCTGTTGTCATTGAGCTTTGTTGATAGCTTGTCTGTGTCACTTAAATAATAAACATCAAATAATTTCCTAGCCCCTTTACCATGCTTAATTTATCCATCCCAAATATGTTTTTATGTTTTCTCCATCGTCCATTGAGGGACACGGCTCTGAAGAATTCTGAGATGTAGGGTTATGCTGCAACCTTCAGGAAAAATGGACACTAGGCCTAAAATTAAAGCTTGTCACTTTAAGACAATAACCCCTCTCATCTCACTCTGCTAGCTATGCTTAGTATCCTCAGCAGAATGGATGTCTCCTCTTCTTCTGCTTTTTTATTTTGCTTCTTTGTTGAGATTCTACTATCGAGAGCTGCTCATTGATTCATGCCGGATAAAATTAAATCCGGGAAGTTTCTCTTGCTATCCAACAAAACTTAGAGATTCATACCAGATAAGTTCAATCCTGGACGTTTCGCAGCTTGTTCGTCTTCTACTTCCACTTTTTCTAAGTGGATTCGCCAGATTATTGCTCAGGCCTGAGCTGGGGGATATAATACCTCCTTTTCCTATTTCTGCTTTCTCTACTAGGGCAATTAGTACTTCTTGGCCTTTTCACAGTGTTGCTTCGGTTGTTCATATTTGAAAGGCTGCAACCTGGTCTTCTGTTCACATGTTTGCGAGGTTTTATAAAGTTCATGTTCTGCCTCTTCTGATGCTAGTTTTGGCAGAAAAGTTCTTCAAGCATCTTTTTAACGCCCTTGTTTATGTTTTTTTGTCGGGCTGGTTTTTCAGATTGTTTTGTGTGGCCGCCACTCTATTTTGGACTGCTTTTGTACGTTCTTATGTCTCAGAATTCTTCAGAGCTGTGTCCCTCAATGGAAGATAGAGTAAATAGGATTTCTTGGATTTCAATGTGGTGCAAAGCTCTCCCTCCCCTCATTTCCTTTTATGTTGAATACTACAGCTAGCAGGAGTAAGGTGAAAGGGGTTATTGCCTTAAAGTGACCAGCTTTATTTTTTTGCCTAGTGTACATTTCTCCTGAAGGCAGCTGCCTCACCCTACGTCTCAGAATTTTTCAGAGCTCATTGGTTTCCTAGAAATTATAAAAACAAAATCCTATTTTAAAGCTGTGTTAAGTCTGATTTTCCTTTCTGTCAAATGAACTAAAAATCAGCACTTGGTTTCTATGATGCTCTGTAGATGTGGAGGTCCTCCGAGTTGAAAGGATTCAGCTTCTTGATGCCGTATTAAATCTCTGCACTTACCACCATCCTGAAAACATTCAACTTCCTCCAGGGTAAGTTGTAGGTTTTAGTTTTGTTTTTTACCATTGTATAAAGGTAACTGAACTAAAGCTGGTCTTGATGATTATCTGCAGACTTTCTATGGTCAGATGGAAAAAGTGCAACAGATTCCTCCATCTATGCTAAACTGTGTGGATGGAGGAATCTCCCACTGGGCCAAGCTTCAGTATCTTTCTAGTTGGTCCTGCTGGCTGTCAAAACACCTGAACAATCTGATTGGATGCAGGCATTGTTCAGTTGTTTTGACAGCCAGCGGGGCCGACTTGCAAGATACTGAAGCTTGGCCCAGTGGGAGATTCCTCCATCCACACAGTTTAGCGTAGATGGAGGAATCTGTTGCACTTTTTCCATCTGACCATAGAAAATCTGCAGATAATCTAAAAGTGTATGGCCAGCTTTAGATTGCAAAAGCTTGTCTCTTATATATTTTGTTAGTCCAATAAGAAAGGTATCATCGCATACTACAATACTCTGTTTGAGAGCCGCTGTCAGTATGTGTGTGTGTGTGTGTGTAACATTTATGTTACTTTGCTTTTGAATCACAGGTATCAGCCACCTAACCTTGCCATTTCCACCCTCTATTGGAAAGCTTGGCCTCTCTTGCTTGTTGTTGCTGCTTTTAACCCAGAGAATATTGGTGAGTATTCTTATTTTGTTGCTAATCTTGGATTTGCATTGTCAAACTGAAGACAAGATTGAAGTTAATTGAAATGTGTTATGTTTTCTCAGGGTTGGCTGCATGGGAAGAATATCCAACATTAAAGATGCTTATGGAAATGGTCATGACAAAGTAAGTGCCGGGTTTATATGACAAGTTTTCTTGTAGGTTAGAAACTGATTTGATTTGCGTTCATTGCAGTATTGCTGTATCTCATACTTTGAAGTAAATCTGTGCTCAAATCATGCAAACTAAAGTATTTACATATTCTGAAATAAGTAGTAAATACTTTTTAAGACAAGCCCCCATTTATCTCTGTATCTATAAGCAATGTGGAGAAATGACTTGCCTAGAGCTGCAGCTAACGATTATTTTCAAAATCGATTAGTTAGCCGATTATTAAGTTCGATTAATCGGATAAAAAATAAAATGCATTTTAAAAATGGCTCCAGTGATGGGACTACTAGTTTGTATTGAGATTGCAGTCCATCACAGGAGCAAGCTTGGAGCGGTGGAAGTAAAAAAGAAAAAAAAAAAGTGTGCTGTGCAATATAGTGAAATGAAAAGTTTAAAATTATACAGCAATGAATGCAGAATGGCATCGGCTATAGAGGACTACAAATCCCAGCAACAGTGCATTACACAGCACAATGCAGAACACCACCAACTATAGAGGAATACAACAAATCCCAGCAATAGTACATTATAGCTGGCGGCATTCTGCATTGTGCTGTATAATGTATTGCTGGATTTTGTAGTCCTCTCTAGCTGGTGGTATTCTGCATTGCGCTGTATAGAGGACTACAAATCCCAGCAATACATTATACATACAGTGTATAATGTATTGCTGGATTTTGTAGTCCTCTCTAGCTGGTGGTATTCTGCATTGCGCTGTATAGAGGACTACAAATCCCAGCAATACATTATAGAGCACCATGTGTGGGAAAGTGCAGGCTTACCTGAGCAGTCTTCCAGCAACTTGTTTCTGAGATCGGGCCTGTCTATCGGCGGCTGTCATCCCCCCACACCTGCTCCTCCTTACTTCTTCTCCCCACGTCCCTGTGCCGATCGTGGATTTGGACGGGCGGTGAGCGTGAGGCAGGGAGGAGGTGTGGTGTGTGGATGCGGGCGGGTCTGGCAGCGGCGAGCATGAGGTGGGGAGGAGGTGTGGTGCGCAGCGTGTGTGGAGCCGTGAACAGGGCCAACCAATCGGAAGCCGATTAATCGATGATTGAAAAAGTTGACAACTTTTTCAATCATCGATTATAATCGATTATGTCGATTAGTTGTTGCAGCCCTAGACTTGCCATAATTCACAAAACATGTTTTTTTTTCTATGAGCACAGAATCTTGGCAGTCTGCCACCCCTGTGAGAAACCAACTGAAACACTCTTTAGAGTCTTTGTGCTGATCTTTGACAGTAAATAACTTCACTTTAAAAGCACCTAGAGAGGTGATGCGGTCTTATCTGTAAAAAAATAAATCAAGGCAACTGCGCTTGCTGTACGCCTTGTTATTTTCAGAATTCTGAATTGAATCAATTACTTTTGAACGATATTCTAATTATTCGAGTTTCACCTGTATACCATGACCTGGATGAATAAAAACCTTCACGGACATGATGAGGGCTTGTTTTAAGTATATGTAAATTGTTTAGTGTCCATAGTCTTGTCACAGTTGCACTTTAATCCTTTCCCCCCGCCAACGGAAGGCATACGGTGGAACGCAACTGCTTCCAGCTGACCAGCTCAGTATGCCTTACGTCCGTGGTTTCCACCTTTCACCATAAACTTATATCAGAAGGAACCCCTCAGACGATCCCCTGTAAGATAATATGTCATCAGAGGCTGAAAAGTTGCTGATGACAGCTATTCATTAAAATTCTACCGCCCCCCCCGCCGCGATCTAAAATGTTCCACTGCTCTCTTCTCCACGCCTGGAGCCGCTCCATGCTCCGATCAGGCTTCCCTCGGATCCCCGTTGCTCTCCGCC